GGTGTGTCGTATCTTCAGGCGGTTCTTCTTTAGGCTTGCGTAGCCTCCTTGTTTTGCACAAAAAAAAATGATCGAATTTGAATTTATACATCACAAGTCTACGGTCAACTCGACTGGTTAACAAGCTTATTATAGCATTGTTTGAGATATATGTAAGTGGGATAGTATTTAATAAGACGAGTGAAAATCAATGGTGAACGAATACTAATGTCAATTTTCAGCAAATTGGTATCACTTTTTTTTATCTATTTAAAAAAGTATGGGGCTATTTCCATGCCCATATCATAAACAATCTGGCATCCGCAAAAATATTAAATGTGATATTTCACTTTCAAGATAGACATCTATATGTGTACTGATTTATTCTCATTATGCCAAAATCAAGTATTGAAAATTGCCATTTGTTATGGGAATTTTCTGTGGAATATGCTTATCCTTAAGCTAAAGGCATGTCGATTTGCGTGGTTGGAGGGATATTGTATGGAAAGTATCAAAAGTAGTCCCGTAATTATAGAGGTGTTTCGTTATTGGTTCTGATGATAGAAGAATTATCTGATGTTAATCAGGGGACACGTGGCGGCGGTTGATGCTCCGACGCCCACCTGAACTCGTCTCCTTTGCTCCGACGCCTGCAAAATAGAACCTTGGGTTGTCCCCAGGGATAGACCCTTTGATGCTTAAGTTAGAAACGGTTTTAAGTTTTCTAAGGTGGTAGCTGTGGAAAGAGTAGAAGAGAGAGTTTGGAGTAGTCAGAATATCCCTTACCTTGACCTAGGTCATCCTTTTATAGGAGTCAGACGACCTAGGTCTCCCTTCTGCAGGCAGAGGATTCCCCGGCCCATAAGCTTCGTGGGCTGACCCTATACCTTGGGCCCAAAGTAAAGCTCCTCTGGACCTTCCTACAGTAACTCTCTTCAGGACGTTGGGCCCAGAGTAAAGCTCTTTGGGACCTTGGGCCTGAATTGAGGTTGGGCTTCGACCTTAATCCTGGACTCTAACGGGTCTCGGATCACACATGTCTTTATTCTCTCGAGTCACGTGTCGTATAATAAATGTATATTTTTCCCCTTATCACTTGCCCCCCATTTTATGTACGCATTAATTTTATGCGTACAGAAAATAAG